AGAGCGGTGAAGTTGGCGATGTAGGCAGCCAGCAAGGCGATGGTGAACAGCCACCAGACAGCAGCGACGACCCGCACAGAGAGCGCTTTGGGCCGAGGGGTGACACCTGCACAACCAGAGGGGACAATAAGACTTACGGGAGGTGATGTACATGAGAGCCAGAGAGCTTCAGATCTATGAACACAGCAGTGCTACAGACCGATGAGAGCCGGATGTACAATCAGCGTAAAACCCCCGTAATGCTCCCAGAGCCGCTTTGCTGCAGCCCTCCCCGCTCACCTTGCAGCGCCAGTGCTCCTGCTCCAAACCAGAGGCTGTTTAAGAAGGTGAAGTGGTTCTCTTCGTTCTTTGGCTCGTTCCATTCGCAGGGGCTCAGCCTGTGGGAAAATGACAGGATAAACCCAGACATTCAGGGGGAAAAAATATAAAGAGATGAAAGGGAGAAAGAAGAGCTGAAGTACAAACACAATCATCAGCAGCCCTGGGTAATCCATGTCAAGAGACCTGGTGCTCTTCACTGGGAGGTCCTACTCTTAATGCTGTCTTAACCTGACACGACTCAAGCTTTGTTAGCCCTGGTTCTGGATCTGCACAGAAGGTTCCTCACAGCAAAATGCACCCTGGTGTTTTCTTTGAAACCAAGATCTCTTCGTAGCTGAGAAAGCAGTTGAGTTGGACAAAATCTGTGAAACAAATTCAATTTATACCTGGCAACGAGGAAGAGGCAGAAGCACGTCAGCACATAAGCGAATAAGAAGCCGGTCCAGGTCTCCTTGCTGAACGGGGCCAGGAAGTGGAAGAACGACATCTCCTGAGCCATGGTGTCTTTTCGAAGCAAGATTCCAATCCCAGTCTGCAGAAATGGCGTGGTAAAGGAGACCACCTCCTCCCTTGCTGACGTGACTGTCAGCGGAGCCACTGCAATGTCTGCTTCCTGTGAGATGGAGATAAAAACCCATCAACCATCCAGCCTGCCTGAAGATTTCTCTCACTCCAATAGAATTCTCCCCAGGCTGAGGGGGCAGATATCGACACGGCAAATCACTTCTCTGTGTCAACAGGCAGCTCTCATCTTAGACTGTGAGCCCCAAGAAACAGGACAGGTTCCCTTTTGCGCTGTTCATAGTGGGGTGCTGGCTGGTATCTGGGGCTTCTGGTTTCCTCCTGCAGCATCACACGCACAGGCTGTGCGCCATGAACCACACTGGGGTTTTTTTTACCAAAACCAGAAGGAACGTTCCTTTCTTGTTCTGGCTGCAGCATCTACCTGACTGACAGCCGGACACAGCAGCGAGTTCAGAGGAGCACGGGAGGTTTAATTCAAATGTTACCAACAGCTGACAGAACGCTCGCCACAGGGGAAGGCACATGCTGGGGTAAGATGGGCATTCAAGCAGCTCCTAGAAGAGTCTAAGGGATTACCATCCTGAAAGGGACAGGTTTCACCTAGTGGTCAAGTTCAAGGTAAGTTTTCCTGATGTCTGTAAGTCTTTCAGACTGCAAAGAAACACTAGGTAGAACTGAACAAGCCAAGCGCTGCACCAGGAGCGCTGTGTTGTAACAATGATTTCCTGCTATGGCCATTGTCTCCTTGCTCCTTAGTTTCCATATTTGCAGGACAGACCCAACTAGAAGCCTTGCTATCCCTTAGCTCCACACAACAGGCAGAATGGCTCCAAGTTGTTCAGTCCCTGAGCAAATGCTGATGAAGTCCAAGAGCTGCTAGCACTGCTCTTTCCTTCTAGAGCTGCAGTTCTTCAAAATTATACATTGGAAATTACCTGTCTCAAAATCTCGCCGATCATCCCTGTCCAGTTCCCACTGGAAGAGACGGCACCGTACTGCCCGTCTCCCACCACCTTCACCTTGTAGCTGAAGTGCAGCATCGCAGCCAGTGCTTTCAGCAGGTCAATGCAGTATCCCTCCAGCTCTGCATTTCTCACCATGACATAAGGATCTTCCTGCGTATTGAGGGAAAATACACAATTACACATTCCCAGAGTCTGCAGTGCAACTGATTAGGAATTAAACCATTTGTTTGCAAACCCTCCCCAAAGACCTTTATCCACACTAGAGGAGGGACAACATTTCCAAACTTGAAAGATACTCACTGGAGTCTTGTGCCACCACTAGTCACAGACTGCAGCTGCAGCAGGACAGCAGCATTCTGCAAACCACGTGTACCACAGGAATAACTGATAATCTCAGTCCAAAAGCCCAAATACATTTCCTTTGTCCCATCAAAGCATCAGATGAGGTTCACATGCTGGTGCAGCGTCTGACATCAGAATCAGAAAATCTACTGTGCAGCTTCTGAAGAGTCCTGCTTGTCCGCCGCTTGTGGCGAGGCATGTGGTTTGGGGGGTTTTTTTAATAGCTTGTTTTTAATCCCTGCACGTGTGTGATCTATACATATTTCCACTCCAGGACAGACACAATTTACAGCTAAAATGACAACACTTAGATGTAGCTAAACAGAGTGAGGAGGCCTGGCTGTCATCACAGGGCAATCGTTTCCAGAATTGTGTGCCCAGTCCACTCTGGGGGCTGACTTTGATGACCCTTGAATCCTCCCACTGCAAACCACAGACAGCTTGCAGCTCTACACCACTGAGCCAGCGCTCCAGGAACACTGTCTGTGATGAAGAGGGATATCAGTGTCAACGACAGCCCGAAAAAGCATCTGCAAATACATGGGTGGAAAAACAAAGGCAAAGTATACTTCCAGTGTTGTGTCACTGCCTTACCAGGATTGTTGTGACAGTCAAAGTTGGAAGACCCTTTTCTGTTCCCCTTGAGTCAGCGCCCTGCAAATCAAACAAATGAAGAAATAATTGAATTTCAAAGTCCCAGACCCAAGTTTAAATTCTATAAGCCATGCGGACAGGGCTATAGGCAGATTCCTCCCTGGGACATAACTGAATTTTGAATTCTGGACAAAAGGTTGAGTAGAAAAACCATAGACACACAGGCAGACTTAGAAATGGCCATCGCTAGCCATGAAGAGTACATTTAAAATACTAACTCTTCACAGATTAAAAGCCCTGCACGCTATAACCACATCTACTTCTGGATGTAAAATGCAAGACCTTCTGCACCAAGGAACTTACCTTGCTCACAGCATCAGCATTCCTTATAGCTCCTGAAAAAAACCAACAACAAAATCAACCTCTTGCAGGGCTTATATTTCCATCTCCTTAAAGGTGAAGTTTTATACACTCATTTCATGACGCACTTTTTCTAGAATGTGCACAGCATTGCTCCCTGGAATCAAAGGATTCACAGTGCAAAAGCCAAAAATCCCTCAAGATAAACCAAAAAATTTAGGGTGTTTTCACTCTTCCAGGCAAAAGCTGTGAGTTTCTCATTAAATATAACAAGATATTCATTCATTATGTATTATTCATGCTTCAGTTTTGCATTTTCTGGCCCTGTGCTGAACTCTACATTATTGTAAAACAAAACCTGTTTTTTCCCTCTCCACTACAGTTCTCCGTGGGAGCTGGAAATGTTCACAAAAGAGTTCTCTTGTCTCCCTTTAAAACTCATTAAAGCCAGTAAAAGCTTTTTGAGGCTCCTTTTTGAAGACCTGCTATGGTTTCTTGGAAGAAGACAGTCTGTACTGAGGGCTTCAGCCCCCCACAGTGCCGCTGGATGCAGCTGTTCAAACCCCCATTGTAAGAACTCCTCAAAGGACCGTAAGTAATCAGCTTGCAGCACTAACTCCAAGTTCATTGCAGTGACACTTCTCGAAAGCCAAGTCCTCATTGTGAGAATCCTTTGTGAGTGTCTACAGAAACATAAGACAAAGAAAAGCAGCTCATCCCTCCACTTCAGCTCCCCAAAGGCCAGTGGCTGCAGGAAGTGACTGTGGCTGCAGAAACCAGCCTCGTCCTTCCCCCTTCCGCCCTGAGCATGCCCAGCCTTCTGATGGGAGACAGCTCCCAGCGAAAAACCTTGCAGTGCTGTTACGAACTAGCCAGGACACCCAGGCACCCTTTTCCTAAGACTTGTTCATCTTCCCCGATCTCTGTCACCTGATTTACAACGAGAGCAGCACAGACACTGAGGAACAGCACCCATAACATGCTAAAGTCACAATCACAAGCTCTAACAGCAAGGTCGGCCCTGGTGATGTCTTAAAAAACATTTAGAAAGCAAATTCTTAGATTAAGACAAAATCCAGTGAGAACTAGCAGTTAAAGAATGAAAGAATTAACACTCTGCAAAGAAGAACAAAACCAGCTTTGGATGCAGCCAGCATTTTTGGATCATTTTTCTCACCTGTCTGGCTTGATTCTCTCAGGAGCAGCATGGTTGTCATCACACAGAGCGTGAAGGGAAGACCTTTGTCCATGGGAGCAGCACTATCTACTCTCTAAAGGAAACTTCCTGCTAGAGATGAAATGCAAGCAGTTAAAGCTGGGTTTATGGTTCCTCATTGCTGGGTTAAAATCAGCACGTCCTGGATTTTCTGCACCTCATTCTGAAGAGTCCCCATTCAAACAAAGGTCTCCAGGTGAAAACACGGTCACTTCTGAGACCAGCCATACCAAATGCTACAGAAAAGATTCTGGTGAACCCTTCCCTGCAGCAAAAAGGGGGTGACAAACCTGCAAGGTGGATTTATCCAGTGGTGGTTGTGCTGCTTCTCTTCCAGCCAGCTCTCCACAAAGGAGAGGTGTGCCACAACCAGTGTGGGGGCTGTGGGGAGGCAGCTGCGGGTGTGGGCAGGGACTGGGAGATGCACACACCCGTGTGTCACAGGGAGAGGGAAGCAAGGGAAGCAGCTAAGGTGAACTGCTCCTGAGCACCAGGCACTAAATGGTAAGAAAACTTACGATTTAGGAGACTATGTAGGCAAAAAAATCCTACCTATGGTATTACTTACTTCTGACTGATGCTCAGAAAAGACTGGCTCCAGTCAGTCTTACCTCACCAACTCCTACAGAATTTTCCCCAAACCTGCTCTAATCAGAGCTGGTCATATATTGCTCACATCACCTTGAAAAGAAAGAGTTGTTAACATACTGGCTGCTCACTGTCTAAAAGAACAAACAGAGTGTAAATATGTGCAAAAAATTTTTTTGCAAAAGCTAATACACTTCCCTAGCTCTAATTTAGTACTGGAGTTGCTTAAGGACAAACGGGATCAGTCAGACAGAGAATTACGGGAAGGCAGAGGGGTTTAGTACCTCCCAGTGTGTAAAGAGTTCCTTAGATCCTGCTTAAATTAACCCTTGCAATACCCATTCACCATCTACCCAAGGAAGTTCTACCAGGTTCTCCCATGCTGGCCTTACAGTAAAACAAAGGATTTAAAAAGTTACTTTGCTAGAATCAGCTCTTACTCCTCAGAGGGTTTTCTGTCTTTCAAAATGTAAAATAAAAGAAAGACAACATTACTCCTCAACCAGTCTTCTGTCTGCAGGGCTGGAGGAAGGCATTAAAAGAGCAGTGGGAGAGACTAATGACTGCCAGCTAGGAAGGAGACAGCCTGTGGCACCCAGGCTTTGACCCTTGTCACCTGGAACACGAACAGCAGGGATGGAAGGCAGGGTCGCACTTACAGCAATTTCCGCGGCCTCTCCTCGCTCCGTTTGTCTGATGGGTACCAGCAGGAGCAACGCGATGCACAGGCACCATGAGACCGCTGGAGCACTGAAGGCTCCCAGGCACTCACACTGTTATACAGAGAAAAGAGAGGGAGGAGCCAGGCGAAGGGTCTGCGGAAGGTGCCAGCTCCTACCACAGGCTCTGGGGGCACCTCGGCGTTTGGGAAAGAGAGGAGGAGACTGCACCAGACAATGTTTGGAAGCAGTTTAGTCCAGCAGCTGAATACTACATTGAGACTTAGAAAATAGTATTCCTGGCCTGTGAAAGCTCGCTCTCTTTGGAACAGTGTCCTATCGAGCTGTGACCATCTCTCCTGTCTATCGATCGTGGAAGCTGCTCAAGACTGTCTCCACTCTGTGACTGCCCCAGGAGATCAGCTGGGGATTCACGTACAACACCAAAAAACCCCCAAACCAGTACATACCTCTAGTATGTCTCTGCAATGCTTAGACAGCTCAAGGAAGGCCTGAGCTTCAAGGTGAGCCGTTAAATCCCTCTCTGGGTTGAACAGTTGTGTGAAATACACCGGCACAGAAGTGAAATTCCTGTCCCCTTCATCCTTCCATCTACTAGCCTCACTCCAAAAAGCGAGCTAAAGGACAGCCCTGCCAAGTGGCTGACTCTGCAGGGCCAGGTCATTTACAAACACACCCATCGAGGCATGGTAATGACAAAGAGGCGCCTTCCCAGGAATTCAGCAGTCGGCTGTTGCAGTGTGTCCTGCAGGGGAGCTGGAACCTGTCCACACTTAAGAAACAACAGTTCACTCCCTACTCGACTGTAAGCACTGTTCAAGATGGAAAACCCTCCAGCAGCTTGCACATCTTGGCCTTCTTCTCTAAACTTTTTCTATACATGCCACTAAATCAATTATTAAACACCAACACAGCTCGCCTTCTGCAGAGTCAGAAATCGCTTACATTTCAATTAAAAATGCTCCGAAGACTGCATTTGGTGAAGCTTGCCCTGACAGAGTCCAAGGGCTTGACTTACAGCTCACTGCAATTAAGGAGAGTCCTTAGATCACTTTTAATGCACTTCAGACCCCAGATGGTGTAAATCATTCTCAAAATATTCATTATACCCAAATGCTAAGATATGTTATAAACTATCATTACATGCTCTCTATCGGACAAAACAGAAGAAGAATCCGGAAAGATCTGTTCACCTTGGATCTCTCTCCGAGGCTTTGACATGTTTACAGGTTCATTTCCAGGTGCTTCCTTTGGTAGTTTGGATGGGATTTGTTCTTCACATTCTCACCTGAAAGCTATGCCCTAGAGATTGTGGCAAAGGGCTGCATGTAGGGGGAAGTTAGCAAAAATCAGACACACTGAGGTTTCCAGCTGCTTTTCATGAATCTTTTCTAGGCTTTAATAAGATGCACATTCTGGCAGGTGATTCCTCACAGGGGGCAGCTATGGAGGGCTGATAAGCTCAACCACAAGCTGCTGAAAGCATCTCAGCACAGACAAAATCAGGTTTGAAAGATGCAATCAAATATTCACCTTTGAGGTTCTGAAACATGAAGTTGGAGGAATACAGACCATAAATCCCAGGTCTGACCATGTATAGTACACTGCTGACATTTGGAAACTTTGGATTTCTCATCTTACAGTTTAGTGAACTGAAAAACACATACAAGGCGCCACAGGAAGGGCTCTGAACAAGGGAATATACTTGCTGTCTCTGTACAAGCCAGCAGGAACAGACACAAAATGGGCTTTCTCCAGGCAGTGTTGCTGATTTGATTGATGGCTGAGATCCAGCCAAGGAAGTGTTCTCACACGTTAGCAGAACCCCCCTGCCCACGCTGCCGTTCTCTCTCTAGCCTCATTCAGCAGTTTAATTTTCAGACCTCCACTATTGTTCTAGGTCATGCCCAAGCAATGGGAAAAATCATATTAAAACAGAGTTGCTAAGAGAATTTTGCTTAAGGTTTTGGAGGGGCTTTTTTTAAGAAAACAAAACTAAACTAAAACAACCAAAACCAAAAAGAGATATGCACGTGAGAATCTGATTGTGATACCGTCATCAGCATGAATCTTCCCATTTGTAAATCAAGCAGTATAAAATTGGAAATTGAATTAATTATTTATTGTATCATCATCATGGGAGTTCGTCCTCAGAGCAAAATGAGAATTTCAAGCACCTCAGTAGCTTTTCAGTCAGTCACTGACCTTCGTGAAGAACAATGATTTCAGCTGCCTTTCTGAATTCCTTCAGCCCTGCAGCCAGGCACAGTCCCATGGCACGCCACCCTGAGGGAAGCACACAAACAATCATTGCAATTAGCAATCATTGCAATTAGCAATCATTGCATATTAGAAAGCGCCTCTGGCTTACATATGGATGCCTCCTATGGATTCCCCAGTCTGTTGTACTACAGGTGTTCCATTCTGGGGAAAATTTGCAGCTACTATATAGCAAGCAACTTCTTAATAAGTTTTTGCTACTCAGCAGTGTAGGTACCATGAAATAAACTCCATTCATAGGAAAAAAATTGAGACATTGTTAATGCTCTTATGCAGTGTAACAAAGCCAGCTGTAAAGGTCGTGACTATTAATTTGGAGCAGGAGGGCAAAATTCACATGTACCCTAGTAAGTTAAGTCCAGATGCAGTTTTTTAAAAATTTGAACAAAGATCAACATTTTGAAGTGCTACAGGATTCTGCCTTCTGTGGGGTGCATTAATTTAACAAGTATTGGTTAATCAATTAAAGATAAAAATAATCTGATTGTGAAACTTGGTCTTTGAAAAGACACAAATAAGCCTTTTAAACATTCATTTTGTCAAGCTGTCAAGCTGCATGTACTTTCTTCCTTTAAAGATAAAAAAGCAGCAACTCCCTACAGCTTTTCAGTCCAAAACTGAAGTATTACAGAGTGACTTTTCGTCTACGGAATGTTAATGAAATTTGCTTTGTGTTAAGACAAATGTGAGACTAATCTTGGCAGATCCCACATTCCGCTGCTGATTTACCTTTTTGTCCTTCAGAGACTGCAGAGATACTGGAGGGTTACTTCAGTGCATGTTCCAAACCTTTGCTGCACAAACCTCAAGGGTCTCTCGTCCAAACGATGAAGTCAAGCAATGAAGATCTGAGCCAGGACAGAAAACTGAGAGAATATTTTTAGACAAAACATACTGAAGACCATTTGAAAAGATTTAATCTGAGAATTTAACCCCTCCCAGCCCCTAGCTCCATGGCATGATGATATCATTAGCTATAGTTATCCTTACTTTTTGGTATCTCGGAGTTTAAATGCTTGTGGCCAAATGATTCTAAAATTAGAAACCAAGAACTCCTTTCTAACCCCACAATCCACAAGGAAGCTGATGACCCTCCCAGGAGAGAGGATGAACTCAGTAAGATGCACTTTCACTCTGCACTTCGCCGGGACAGGAAGAGAAGAGAAATTTTTCATTATGACAGGTGAAGAGCAAATTTTTGCTTCATTGTTTCCAGACAGACTAAACCACCTCAGTGATGAAACAGGGCGATCTGTCTTACTTGGAGAGCTGTAACAGAATCAATTAGGTCCTTGGATTATATCTGTCTGGCTACTAATTACAGCGGTTCTCCTAAAATTTTCATCTACGCAGCCAACACTGGCTGTCAAACAGAGACACCCTTTGGAACAATCTGTGTGCTGCGTATCACACAACTGACGCCAGTCTCTACCGATACTTGCATGCGTTTTGGTGGACCTGAGAAAGTTTGAGCTGGATCTGAAATGGCTACCACGCTGAAAAAAGAGTAAAATTAAATGTTGTCCTCTAAGGACTTCTTAAAACAAGGCAGATAGAATTCACCATTTTGTGTACCACAAACTTCTAGACAGCACAGAAAAAGTCAGCTAAAGAGTCAACAGCGGGAAGGTTAAATATGTTTATTTTAGTAGTGTAAGGTGGTTTTACAAACAACTTTTTAGATTTTGCAATATACACAAAAGAATCATTACAAACAAAAGCAAAATATGCTCTCAATAATAGGGACTCTATGCAGCCTGAAATAAAATTAAACCTCTGTTTCTCTTTAAAATGCATCTCTGTAAACATTCTTCTCCATCACTGATAAAATGTACATCTATAATAAGTGACATAAGAAATGGGGAGGGGGGGACAACATCCCTAGAAAAAAAAGTAAAAAAAAAAATAGGGAGGAAAAATTATTATTCTGTTTAAGTTGTTATTTAATTCTAGATATGCTCATCTAAAAAAATTAAATATATCTTTCTTTTAAAACATATCATTGAAAATTTTGCATGGCAGTGCAATACAGAAATAGTAAAATTCATCCAAAAAGTGCTATGTACAGCAGCATTGTTAAAATACCATAAGGAAGGGACGGTGCGTTTTCAAGAAAGGACTAGCATGCTTTTCAGCCATTTCTGAATTAAGGTCAGAAGATCTTTCCTGTCTATTTTTAGTAATTCCCTTCTCTCCCGTCTCATTCCCACAGGTTATGTTTTGAGACAAGGAGCAGTCACAGTTCAGTTTAAGTGCGTGCCATATGTACATATATGTGCAGACATGTATTTGCATAACACAGATGTGTATATATATTTATATATATAAACAAGCTTGGTTTAAAAAAGCATTGCTTTGGAACATAGTGAGAGCTCTTCAAAGAGTGAGACCATATGGATTTCCACTGAAATAAGCAGGTCCACGATGGAAGATGGACTTTATCTACCACATAATTAATTCATGAAACAATTACACTGCAATTTTGACTATTTACCAGAGAAGACACCCTCAGAGGCCTCAAACTCTTCCAAAAAATAGAACAGGGAGCATGATTTGAAATCCAGCCTCTTTTCATGGATCCACAATTTGTAAGAACAAAATTTACCTTAGCTGTTGTTAACATCACATAGATGTTTACCTATTACAAGAAGAAATCACCGAAATTAGTAAAGAACATAAGATTTGCACAGAGCAAACTACAAATGCAAAGAAGTGGTCACAACAAAGAATGCCAAGTTTGAGGCTGGGAAAAGTATAAAAAAAAAATGAGGTTGGATCATTAGGACTGTAAAAATACAAGTCTCCAATTTCACCTGATTGCTCTATTTCCACAAACTGCGTTTCCACAAACTGCTCACCTATTCTTTTGGGGTTATGATATTAAATACCCTTACCATCACGGGAAGGCCAGGAAGCACTAAGCCATATGAGGATATTTTGTGCCTCTCAGGTCACACGTTTTGTTTTGACAGGAATGTAAACATTGCCTTACTCAGTGCTGCCCAGAATTACAGTTTCAGCATAAAGAAGACTTCTGTGTCAGCGTTATAATCAGTTTGGTTCTTAGGCTGGGATGTAAACACAGCAGGAGAAGCTATATCCATACAAACGGCTTTTGCAACGCTGCAGGCTCCCTCGGGATTTCCTCTCTCCTCGATGGGACTCCCCCCGAGCTGGCCCAGGCTTTGCAGCCGCTGTCTCTCCTGAGCTTGCTTGGCCCTGTTGGCAATGTACCGCACCCTGCTCTGGCTGCGAGACGAAGACCTGCGAAGGAGTCCCAGGCTCTCCCCTTCCTCTTCAGATTCAGTCGGATCGAGACTGATAGGGGAAGTGATATGATTTTCCTGCTAAAATGCCGTCAGCTTCTTCAGCTGCTCAGTCAATTCATCCTGGGATTTGACCGAGGATCTCAGGCCTGAAGAGCGCCGCTGCTCCCGCATTGATCGAGTGACAAAACTCCTGCTGATGCTACGGTATTTGCTTTCAAAAGTGCACACAATGTCATCAGAGGTAAGGTCTCCAAGACTCTTGGATTTTGCCTGGTTATTCCCAACCATATCCTGTGCTTTGGATTTGTTAGAAGACTGTCTGAGACTTTCTATGTACAGCCTGCTCCAGGTGTGCCGTCTAGGAATGGATGAGAATGCATCTTGAGGGCTCCTGGCAAGAGGACGGGGGCACAACTCATCCGCTGGCAGCTGGCCAGACACCAGGTTGGGATTGGATTTGCTCTTGCTCACCATTGGCATCTCATTACCAGACGTTGTAGCAGACCGTGGGCGCATACCCTTTCTTACGGCAAGGGGCTCAAAATTCTCGTGATGGATGCCAAGATCTGGGAGGCTTTTGCGAGCTAGATTGGGTAGAGAGAGATCTATCACAGTGTCGTTGGAGGACATGCTGGAAGAGGAAGACATGCTGTCACGATGATTGCTGCAATCTAGCTTGCTCCAGATCCGGTCGTTAACAGTGGCATCGAAGTATACTTCTGCTGCTGGAGACAGGCTACTTGGAATTTTTATTAAGGCTGAGGAGTCTGACATCTTCAGTCCTTCACCCTTTGACCTTCTCACCAACATGTAAGAGCTCGTCTGAGAAACAGAAACAGGCAGAGCCTGTGCAGCGTGGGATTTCTGTAAAGTGTCTGGAGGCAAAGTCGTATTTGTGCTGTTAGCCCCGTTGTTTTGCTGCAGTTGAACAGCTGCTGCACCAAGTTTTTGGCCTTTGGATTCAACGGTGCTTTTCACGTCTGTTAATACCCGACCCTGTTGATCATTTTGCTTCTGGCAGTTTTCAATAGGTTGGCCAGCAGCCTTACCTGCTGCTGCTGCCAGCCGGGCTTTTTGAGGATGCGCTGCCAATCCACACTGATCTCCAGCTTTACTGCATGCCTGTGTCCAACCGTTTTCTTCTTTGAGACATCCTGCCATGCTCGGCCTCTCGTTTTCTTGGACTGCTAAACTTGTGTCAGCTGCTCTGGTGACTACCTGCATTTGGCCTTCTGCAGCCAGATTTGTTCTTTGTTCTCTAGTGAGCTGAGATTCTTGAGGGTGGTTGGATGTGCTGCCTGCCTCTGATCGAGATTTGGTGGAATGATCAGAGACAGACCCTTCCTCAGAATCGCTGTAAGGAGTAACGGGTAGAGGGAAGAAAAGGCTGGCATGATGGTTTTCATTGGCAATAACAGGCTCTTCAGTGATCGTTTCGAGGCTGCATAAAGAAGTGACTGACCTCTGCATGGAGAAACGGCAGACATCTACTTGGGGGACATGAAAAGACAAGAAAAAGAAAGAAACAAGAAAAACAGAGATACAGGGTTAATTAGCTGCTACAAATTGCAGTTTAGCTGAATCATTCTTTATGTGTTATCATTCTGGTTTTAAGGTAGTAGTTGCATATACTAATAATGATTTTTAAAATAACTTATTACTTCAAACGCTTGGCTCAAGGCAGCAAAGATTTCTGCTTGTTTAGTTTTAGGTGCCCCAAAGCCCTGTTGCTTTCAAAAAAACTCAGTCCATGCAGAGTAGCACAATAATACTTTTCTGATTGTCTGATTCAAACAACAGCTGTACCCATCAACATCTGTGTCCTTGTATCCCCTCTCATAAACTAAATTTTATTCCTCTGCCATCCAGCACCACTTGAATTGCTCTTTTCCTTCCTTCCAGCACCCAAACATGTCAGCATATCAGAACATAATCAGACCACACATAATAACGAGAACACCACTGCCGAACCAGCAGATATGATCCCAATGACTAATTACTCAGAAGAGAAGCCACATAGGACTTCTGGAGTATTATAAATTATCTGTATGCATACAATGGAATGTAGTCAAAATGCCTTTTTAAAACCAAACAAAAAATTTAAAGGCTAACTTTTTTTTTTCCTAAAAAAGTTTGTAATTTTTTTTTCAAAAAACTATACAAACACATGGCTCACGAAGACCAGGCTGACAGTACAATCCTGAAGAATCACTACAGCTGCCAACTACCCAAAGAAGATGCTCCATCCATCTGCAATGTTTATACCCTGTACCCTCAGAGCAAAGCAATCATGCCAAAAAGACGGTTTCCCACATCTCCAGACCACGGTGCAAACATGCATTCAAGAACTAGCAAAGCACCACAAAGCCAGACAACCACCTCCGGAATCCAGGAGCAGATAATTATAAGGCAGGAAACACAAAAACCAGGACTACAGGCAACAGGGTGCTTGAATGAGTGATGCTCAGTAGACAGTTACCTTTGACTTGCTTGTCCTTTCAGTTCTTAACTAGAGAGAGAGAGCGTGCATGTAGAATAATAGGACAGAACAGAGGAAAAATCCAGTTAATGTAGGGAAGGCAGGTGCAGATAACGGGATAAATTAGTGCTGAGGGAGGGAAGGGAAACAGACAGAAATATTCACACATTTTGTAGGATCCTAAGAATTTCTGACCAACCAGAGCACTCAATGGAATCCATAAATGGATGAATATTAAGTCATTATTTTGTCATAGAAGAATAAAAGGTAATTTTTGCTATTATTCAAGAAAAGCACTCTCTGCTGGACTGGGGAATGGAAGCTAACCTCTTCTTCTCCAAAGCCCTTCCCTAATGCTATGCAAAAAAATAATCTGCATTCCCAAAAACTGCCAAGGTGATATTGGCCTTTCCTTTCAGCACCAGGATTTCCTATCCAGCGAAGTGACAAGAAGCTTAACAATGGGGACAGCTGCTCAATGGCCTGTGTGACATGAGTTGGGAGTGTTAGAAGGGAAGAAGGCACACGTGCCCATAAGCAAACGCCACCTTTCACAGCACAGCAGACTTTCCAGTGTCTGGAGGAGTATCGGGAGGAGTCCAGAGCTGATCAGACTAAAGAGCTCTCCTTCTCCTCATGCAGGCTGGGCCATCAAAGCAAAATACTGGAAGCTGTAATGCTGTTGCCCTAAAGCGGACAACTAGAGACTATAGTTTCCTGTCTCATCCTTGTGGCACTTCCCATTAACATAATGCTAATTATGAAATGCGGCCATATTAGGCTAACCTTACTGGTTTCCTTGGTTTCTTGGCCCAAGGCGCTAAAATAGCAGGATGGGGAAAGCGTGCTGTTTGTGCAAACATCGTGTTTGTCCCTGGACCATCAGCATCCAGTCCAAGAGACCGTTTCACCATTTTAAAGGTTTGCTGATTCCATGCTTGAGAAGTCAGATGGATTTAATCAAATTTCAAGCATATCACAATATTTATTTAGTGACTTGGGGGGCTGGCGGGGGAGCTGGCACTGATAATGGGAAACGGTTTCGTATGTCACACTACTCAGAGCTTATGAAAAGCCTAACGCCAATAATTTAGGCATAGAAAGAGTTCTGCTGCTTTGGATTAATTTCAGGTCACGGGAACTGGCAAACTTCTTCCCTCCCCCTCCCATTGTCCTGGTATTTTCCTAAAAGCTCAAAGCAGATATTGGAAAAATGATGTAAAAAAGAATTTTTAAAAAAAAGAGAAATAAAGAGAAATTGTAGACACACAACCAGATTATATTGAACAAACAAATAGATATTTTAAGTTGCTGTATGAGGCTCTCAGAGATGCCCACTGTAGGTGGACAGTCAGAATCTGTTACTAAAATCTCCCCTCCTCTTCCTTCCCTTCCAAATCAGGAGGAAAAAAAGCCAGCTTCCTTCTTAATATATATACCTTGGTTGCCTCTGCTCCTATTTTCCATCTTTACAAATGTACACTTCATGAGTAAAGATACAGCCACGTGATCCCAGGGACCACATGCATACTCCTGGTTTGAAACACCTACAAAATGCTGCAGTTTAAGCAGCTTTCCTTTAAATGGACACATTTTATTTTGCAATTGGGAAATGCCACCAGTCCACCTAGCTTGCCTGATGTCAAGTAACATCAGGTCACATACCTTGCTTCTTTACATTATGCAACTGTGCCCTCAGGTCACACTCAAATCATATACGTAACATTAAGCACATCTGTAAATATTTGCATACTGGAGATTTATACCTTTAGGACCAGAATGGTCTGCTGTGTTCATACGGTGTGATCTCCTGAACAGCCCAGACCAGACAATTCCATCCAGTAATCCCTGAACTGACGGCAGTAATTTTGCCAGTCCCTTGCGGAAGGAACTGCTTTTATTGTTAGCACAGTGCACATCAGACATCAGTTCTGATGTGGTTATCCCTCAGTGAAACACAAATACTGATAATGGAAATATTGTTTGATAATATGGGTTTCCCATATTCAGTCTTTACTTAATGCTCTGGTTTGGATCTTAAAATTTACTTAGTATCATACCACATTCACTGAAAAACCCCAAGGAAACAAAAAACCCTGAACAACCAACCCAAACACTGATGGACTACTGACAGTTCTACTACTGCAGATGGTTAGCTAGGCATGGAAAGGACTAATCTAAACCAGACACATCTAGGAAAAAAAATAAAATAAAAATATTTATGCAGACTTTTTTTCTGTCATTGCCAAAAATAAAGAAAAAGAGCTCTTGATAGCAAAACAACATACAGGAGCTTCTAAATAAAGATGCTATGCAGAAGCTGAGACAATGGTGTGATCTAAGGTGGAGAAGGGTGAAGAAAATCTGGTCTTACCAGTAAAGAATATAGGGGATTTACTTCGAATTTCCTCCAATTTTTGAACGAACAAGGCATTCATTTCCCTCTGTAGGGTGCCCACTTGCCTTCGAGAAGTTTCAGAACAGCGCTTGGGGAATTCTGGGCTTCCAAGGCTTTCTAGACTGCTGGAGTTGGAGGATATAGAGCCATTGCTGGCTGCAACCAAGTTGACAGTGCTTCCGTACTTGCCACCTGATTGGCACTGCCACCGCTGCCGAGAATGAGCCTTTATTCCATGACATTTTGATTCAACATTTTTCTTCCCTGGGGTCACAAAAGACTGGGTGCTTCTTGTTAGATCATCGGCAGTTCCAGAGCTGCTGCAAGGCTGCAAATCTGATTGCCGCCTGGGCTGACCGTTAGCACCCCAGTTTTTTAGCTCTAAGCTCTCTTCTCCAGTTATACTGCTATACTGATCGTGGTGACGTATATCTTTAGCAATAGGCCTGGTAGGATGGTCACTCCACTTGCATTCTAGATCTGGGCTTTCTTTGGAACCAATCATGCATTTCATGCAATTGGTGGCCACTCCAATCCTACCAGAGCTGTTGATGGCACAGCGTGCAAAGACGCTTTGCTTCTCGCTCTGGTGCTCCTGAAGCCGGACCCTGCTAGATCTCTGTATGGGTTCACTGAAAGCAGCACCCCCTCGAGCACAACTTTGGCTTTTGGCTTTACGAAAACTATGGGCCTTACCTTTCAACCCCTTGCCATGTGCCTCCCCACTGGCACCATCTCTGGGAGCTGGTGACAGGGAAGCACCTTCTGGCTCTTGCTCAAAGCGAGGCTGGGAGGCGGCTTCCACATCACAGTCTTCACCGGCCCCTTCAGAGCTGTTGTCTTTTGTGTCAATAGCAATTTCAGGAAAGCCCTTCTTGTTCTTCTTCTGGCTTTTGGTGGGTGCACTAGCTGTCCGTCTCAAGATATGACTGCTAAAGGAATGTTTGCGATGGAGCTGACCAGCAGCATGACTGTCCAGAGAGGCCTGCTTTGGATTTCTGACAAACAGGCCTTTTAGACCTAGAGCTTGTTTGGCCTGGAAAATTAAAACAAAAAAGAAAAAAAGTCCTTAATAGAAATGCAAATCTCTTCCCTTGGGCACAGGAACTCACGTACAAACGATCAGTTCACATAGGCACGCGTATACAGAGTCTGCTGCCATATTCCTACCATCAGCATGAGAACTAACCAGAAATAAGACAGAGATTAGAAATCCAAAAAATCGGTAATAGCAGCCTTGCAAAATTTCACTTCTTTTTTGCTCAACTATGTTTTTAGATAAAATTTTCCAACCAGGTATCTCTCTCTATTTCTCAGAATTTTCTTACTAGCATATAGCTGCTTACAACATAAACATAAGCATTAGCTATTGAAAAGAAAAAGTTAAAAAAAAAAGGAAATATTTCAGTCTACAAGGATCTCATTCTGAAACCTGAAGAGTTCCTTTGTGTGCTAAAAGCCACAAAGCTGGAGGTGTTCATAATGCCACACATTTCAGACTCTTTAAGACTGAAGTCAAAGTGCTTCCTTTTTAGCCATACACCTTCCTGGGGTTTTGTTGTTTGGTTTTGGTTTTGTCTTTTCAAACACAAAGCTTTGTGAGGTATGGGCCAGTTTCCCAACACAATGTGCACATGTAAAACACTGATGTATGTTTTCAGCACTGAAAAAACACACTATAAACAAGCGAAGTTAGTCAGGGTGATAACACAGTACTTATTTAAGCATTAAACATATATATTCGCAATCATAAATCTCCCACCATCATACAACTGATTCACACTTCAGTGAAACAGAGTTCCAGCATTCCTGTGAGCATTCCGGTTGTACTTGCCAGCTTTTAAAGCCATAGGCTGATGCCTGATAAAGAGGATGCTGCTTTTGCTCAGTTCTTAGAGCCTCCTACACATAAATCACTTTGAGCAGAGAAGGAGATGCTTCCCTTCTCAGCTACTTCTCCTGATTTGTTCCCTTGATTTCCCGGTTAGATCAGACTCTCTTTAGTAGCTGTAGCAAAAAGAATGAATAACAACAGAGTACATAAGCCTGTGATGGAAATGCATCGTCAGAAACCCACGATAAGATCTGATCAGCACCCATGCTTGTTGGCACTTGCTGTCAGTTCGGTTTTTACCTGTGACAGCATGTGAGGTCACTTTTCTGCAGTGCCAAACAATGGCACAGAAATGTCTAATTTAAATTACAACGGTCTATCTTTCACCCCTCTCCTGGTTTCAGCTGAGACAGAGTAACCAGGACAACCCCCAAATTTTTGGGTGCATGCTCACGCATTTCAAATTTTGCTTTGTAGGATTTAATGGACAGACATGAGCTGCGCTGTACAGTAAGCCTGGGTTAAAAGCTGCTTTTATTCACAGGTGTTCTGCACAATCTGGTACATGGGATCAAGGTTTGTCAGACACCAAGCCCAGTGAAAACATTCAGAATATTATTTATATAATTGACTGAAATTGAGTTACACATGCCAAGATCCAGGTGTGAGGAGATTATTAAAGAGACCCAAAATGGCCTTTAAAAGAGTATACTGGATACAATAGAGAAGGTAGGGAAATCAATTTGATTTTTCCCATACAAGGCAGAGAAAATGTAATTTAAATATTAATAAACCTTCTGTGAGAGCCAGACTATTGAACAGTCGGCTTGGTTCACCGTGGATTCACTTGCACTAGAAAGCTTCAAAATGAGATGATGCATTTGTTAAGGAGGGAAGGGAAAAAAGCATTCCGCTCCAATTCAGACAAGTTGGCAAGTACATGAATTTATTGCTAAAAAATCAGACAATACAAATATTTGCAAAACCCAGAAAAAATCGTCATACATACACACACACAAATAATATCCAAGAAAAATAAAATAAAAGCACTGATGGAGCGGGTGACAGGCAGTGCAGGGCCCCGGGCATCATTCTGGCTTATTTGATGCATCTCTGTTAAGGTAGCCACTATTGCTTGAATCAACAGAGTGATTCAAGAACCCAAAGACAAATTTGGTTAACTTAGGAAAAAAAAAAAAAAGTTGAAAAAAAGGGGGGGGGAAAAAAAAAAAAAGGAGAGCCATTTTGACGGAGATCCAGAACATGCGCTTTCACCTTCTAGTGCAGCTTTTGCAGGGGTTTTTAATTCTTTAAAGCAGACTGGAAAAACAGCACAAGAGGCTTTCCCACAATTTAGCAAACAATTCACTGTTAATGTTCTTTTCCATGTGAAAGAAGTGGTTTGAAGAGGGTACAGAAGGATTTTTATCCTGGATCTGCTTCATATATGGAAGGCTCTCTGGCTGATCAATGACCCAACAGACCTGACCAAGTCAAATGTCACCATTCAGGTTACATGAGTTGAAGAGCTTCAAAATGCTAATAAGGAAACATTGACGCTAATGAAGCAACTGGTTAGAGGCATGCAGGTGTGTGGTGGTGGTCACTACACCTCCCTGAGGCAGGAGGGGGTACCTTCAAGGCGTCTAAAAATGCTCTGCTTCTAAAAGTAGACTTTTTTGACATAGAGAAGCCCACTGAAATCACAAACAGACAGAGTAAAGGCAAAATAACAGTGAGGGAGGATCTCAGAGATACGCACATCTAGAAAACCACAAGAAATTTTGCAATACATGAATAGACTACAAAAGAGACAGACAAAAAACCAGCGTCTCCAGGAAATAGTGCAATCAAGAAAGAGATTTTGGTTAAACACAAGTTAAGGTGGAAAAAAAAAAAAATAAAATCAAAGACTCTGCTTTAATAATATCAAGCTACTGAGAGAGAGGGATATGTAAATTTAGAAAAAAGCTCCAAAAGGTTAATGCTTGCATTAGGATATCTAGATTAATAAAGCCTGGGTAAAACCAGGCTGATAACTGGTGATTTTGCTGCCCAAGAGTGAAAGAGAGTGGAAACAGAGAAATAATTCTAGTTTTAACAGAACTCTGTTAACTGGAAAAATCAAAGCAGAACATGACTCAGAGAGACCAAAACAGAAAGGGCTGTGTAATATTTGTTGCATATTTTCAGTAGTTTTTATTAGAAACTATAAATTTAGAACCACCCCCACATACAAGCTTTCCTTACAAGTCCTTGTATTTTAATCACGTCAGTGAACAGCACCAGCATCTTAAAAGCAGCAAACCCAAAGAGACTGCAACAATAATGAGAAGCAATACGGGATGTCTAGTAGACTTAGAACATGAAAAGGGAATAAAGCAATCAAAAAAACCAAATCAGTGCAGTAGATTGGAAGCTAGTGGATAAGGACAGGTAGGAGACACTGTGATACACAAGGGTCTTTCCGTTGTTTAAAACGCTTACCAAGAAAAGCTAATGTTCTCCAAATAGCTGCCACACTTTAAATGGGCATGTTGTCCGACTGCAAATTATAACTATCACGAGCCAGTTACTCATGAAGAAACCAATAGGAGCAAATAATTATGAAAGGCTAGGTAAAATAAGGATTAAAAGAGAGATAATGCCTTGCAACATTACCAGAGAGGATCTGAGGTGAAAACTCTTCAAACATTCACAAAGTTCCTACAGTTGGAAATTAATCACTGCTCATCTGTTGTGCTCAGACCAACACCAACCATCTCTCTCTCACCTGAAGCTTCTAAAGTCTCTTGCTCAATGGAGCTAAATTTGAACAGATTAATACTGCATCACAGGGAGTTTCAGGCAAGACTCCTGGCCCTGTCAGGATGACGCTAGACTTGCCTAGACGTTTTGCATTAGACATCAAATAAAAAACCAGGATCTGAGCTAAAATGTCTGAAGTGACATTCTTTCCAGAAGCAGCCCTTCTTCCTAAAAGAAGCTTTCCTGGGATTTCTCTCTGCTTCATCCCATAAAAGTTTTGATTAAAATCTTGCAGTTTAAGAAGCTATTTTCCTTTTTAAGAATTTACTTTAATTCCTCTTACGCGAACAGCACCACAGGCAAAGGCACGGGGAATTCCCAGCCTATTCAACGCCGCCTCCTGCTGTCACCATGCTGATGTGACAGCTTCCTGCTGCAGAAAGCTCAGCCTGTCATTGCGGGTGGATGTAAACTGGTTTTGAGATTCTCACCGCACTGTAAGACACTTGGCTACCTGAATTTCATTGAAATTAATAGCACAGAAGTATCTAAATCCAGTGCACTGCCAGGAAAGAAGCTATCTCCTTTTCAGCTGGCCTAGGATAAGTTTGAAGTTAGGGCTTTACTTTCAGCTTGGAGTTATTCATGTGAGTTTCCATATAGCACTCAGATAGTTGTGTTTTTCCTGCATGTGAAGCAAAGACACTCTTAATAACAGATAAGCAGAGAAAAAAGTCTGACAACTATTAGATGGATCATCTTTCCTCTGCACTTCAAGTGTTATTATGGAAAACCCCAAGCAAATAACCCTTAAGAATTTGATTACATTTAAAATGTGGAAGCATCAGGCAGACAGAGCCTTTATAAAATAAGCTTTGCAGGCAACAAGCGCTCACGGCTCATGTGTCTAACTTCTGTTCAGCAAGGTGCCCTTAGTGTACTGGACACAACTGCACTTATTTATGTAAATGTGTGCATGCTGCAATGAAACAACCTTCCCCTCTGGTTCTCTCCAAAAGGCACTGCAAGAATCTCTTTTTATACCTTTCCCTGTGATTTGCCTTTATCCCCATGTATATTCAGAAAGATCTCAGGCTACCACGACAGATGAAGTTTACTCTAGTTAACAAACGGCCCTGGGCCTTCACCTGCTGGGCTTCCCTAGCCCTGTGATTTGCCTTTATCTCCATGTATATTCAGGAAGATCTCAGGCTACCATGACAGCCGCAGAGATGAAGTTTACTCTAGTTAACAAATACATTAACCTGGGCCTTCACCTGCTGGGCTTCCCTAGCATGATACAAAATCCTGTCAGTTGCTTCACACATGCAAGCTGTGCCATACGACAGTGAAGACACTCACCTTACCACAGATGTCATTAATAGCCACGTGAACAAAGATGGATGCCTCTTCTATACCTTCCAGGTACACGTGTCGATAACCTGAAACAGAGCAAACAAAGCTGAGGAGTTGAAACACAGTAGAAAGAGCATCTTGTCTTTTGTAACCAGCAAAATAAATTAATTACTTTTTTTCCAATGCAATAAGCATCCAGGCTTGTACATCACCTAGCCACACTCAGTTATCCAAGAGTCACACCACTTCCAAACTTAACTCCCATTTCTTCTTGTCCCTTTTATTTCATAAAAAAGCCAACTCCTATTTTTGAGTTGAAATACAGTAGAAAGAGCATCTTGTCTTTTGTAACCAGCAAAATAAATTAATTACTTTTTTTCCAATGCAATAAGCATCCAGGCTTGTACATCACCTAGCCACACTCAGTTATCCAAGAGTCACACCACTTCCAAACTTAACTCCCATTTCTTCTTGTCCCTTTTATTTCATAAAAAAGCCAACTCCTATTTTTTCCCATGTCCATTATTGCTGCTGTCCATCCGTGACTTAAACTTGATTACATTCTCTCCTGGGGACTTACAGTCCATTATTAATACTGCAAACATTTCAACCAAGCTAATTTTATTGAGACTGGGTGTTTGCTTTCAATCTCAAACACAGGCTTTTTTCTTTACTTTGAAAGAGAAGAAAAATATACACAGAAGCAGCTTTAATGTGAAGGAAGACTGAATTGAAAACAGAAGTAGGAAACTGACAGCAAATGGCATTTAATAACCCATGATTAGAATAACTACCTGTTCTATACTAAACTGTTCCTGATAGTGATAAGGCCAATCAAAACTCTAGTGTCTTTCAAAAACTGTTGTGAAGAAAATGGAGGAAAAAGCAGTATGAGATAGCAGGAGTAAAGATTCTCTATGGTAGTCTTCCAAGCCCACAAGATTTAGCGATCCTGCTTAACGATCTTACCACTTTTTTGAAAACCTAGTCCCATAGAGTTAATGGATCTAGTCTTCATCATCATATGAGTCAGTAGTGGACCAAGGCAGAGAACTCAGGGTCCAAACTCTCGGTCTCTTGTTCTAACTGGAAATTTCTTCAGCAGATACACACACACACATTAATCCAGCATTTGCAGCCTCAGTCCTGGCCCACTGATTTGGGATGTCACAATTTCTGTCTTACCTGGCATCATACTGCTGAAAGCTATTGTCCTCTGTCCAATAAAGTCACGCCCAATTGGATCGTGATCCCACACAAGGAACCGAATCAGTGCAATCTCTGGCATGTGTACTGTGAACACCAGCGTTTCCTCCCACATGGGGTTAAAACCTCAAAATTAAGGAATCAGCTTTTAGATATTTTGTTCACAAGATGCAAGAAGAAAGAAGACAGCCTACCTAAGGAATCCCTAAACCGCAATGTCATTCTGGTTTTCCTGATAGTTCATTGTTCTTGGAAAATCCAGTACTCCCACTCACTTCAGCAG